GATAGAATTCACGTATTTAGGGCTTATGGCTGCCAGGTTCCTAGCCGATATCCAGTAGTGAGGCTTCACGTGCTGAAAGGATACCTGGCCCACCACATGGGTATCCGCCCCACTTACACAACTTCAAAACACAAACTACAGGCTTCCACAGATCATCCCTTGCAAACTGCAAAGCTGAAGACTCTCACACAACGACTTCCAGACTCATGACGAGTACCAGCACATTCGTTTCCTCCCTTCGGCCCTGCCGTCGCTGCAAGCCCAGATGGAAGACCCACGGCCGCCGCGCTGCCAGGGGCCAGGGCCCACAGCGACATCGTAGCAGCGCCGGGGCTCCTGTGCTGGGGCAGTCCCATGGATCCTCTGGTCGAAACGTGTGTTGGGATTCTGCAAATCGGAGCTTCAATCACGGACCCTGATATGTCTCTGAATATTGGCACCCTGCAGTACTCCTGGAATCCTCTAACCCCCCCCCCCCCTTTATTCCAGTTTTCTGGACCGCCGGCACTTCACCAAGGCGGAGCTGGAGACGGAGGTCAACTACAACACGAGGATCCTCTCGAGGCATGCCCAGACTACACCAACAACTTCCCTGCGGAAGATGGTAATGATACCGAGACTGATAATTACTGACAATGAGAATGACAATGATACGATCACGGTATGGAAGCGAAACGAGAATAACGATGCGGAGAAAATAGTCACGATATTGACAACGAAGTACATCCAAACCCCCGCCAACCCTAAAAAGGCTAAACCCTAAACCCTAAACCCTAAACCCAACAGAAAAGATGCCCCTCGGCACCTGAAGGGCAGGCGTGTACACGGCAGGCTGCAGCCTTCCCTCGCCACAGCCAGGCCCGATCTGGGCTTCAGACGTTTGTCTAGGGGCTTGAGGTGCGTTTAAGTTAAGGGTTTAGGGTTTAGGGTTTAGGGTTTAGGGTTTAGGGCGTTACAAGAGAAGACAAAAAAAAGTGATGTGTGTGGTGATGAATGAAGTGAAAGCGTGCGATCGATCCTTACAGTCTCTTCCTATCTCTTCCTTCATTGAAAGACGCGTGTCGTTCCCAACTCTTAGAATTCTACCCTCGGAACCTATGGTAAACTGAACGAACCTTGTGCTGGAGCTGAACACAAAGTTTCTGGTGTGTGCTTTTGATATATTAACAACATGAGAGCAAAGAAAGGGAAACATACAAAATGCGTGTTCCACTGACGTTCACGGTTTAATAATGACGAACTAGCATACCGTAAGACCAATTATAACAATGAGAAGTAAAAGCAGTCGGTGACAAGGAAGCACGGTTCACGTTGCTGGTCTTCGGCCAAGCAGCGGTCAGTGAACAGAGCCCTTCTTCAGCAGAAGCCTGCGGTGCCAGCGGTCTGCGGGTCTAACGGTCCTTGTGATTCCTATGGTTAGCACACAGATCGTATGCTGTAGGTGCCAACTGGTAGCTTGGCCCCAGCCCGGAAGGGCCCTTCCAAAAAATCAAACATGTGTAAGCCCCCAAGCCCTCTACCCTGACCGAAACCCTAAACTTCAGAAGAACCTAAGTGTGGATGGGAAATAGGTGTTCTGACCTTTTTGAATACGGCTAGCATCTGTATAAACACGCGCTGGTTCACACTATACGTAGAGGTCCTAAGCACATAGAAACTACACGGGAGACTATAACTGCCCGACCCCAAACCACTTGCACCGAGCAGCAACAGCGGCCACGACTTGATCGGAGGCCGGCCACAGCTGCAGCTGCACCTCAGAAATGTATCTGAAGATACATGATACTGTATTGAATCTTATTACATTATATTGCTATACTAAGATAGACTAAGGTGGGCCGAAATCATCCCGAAAGGCAGTGCTGGAAACATCGTGGCGTAAATGGGACGGTAAGAGTCGGGTCTTGGTTGTGGATATTTCAGTCGATTTCAGTCTGCTATAGGTATCTCGGAATGATACAACACCCTGCATCCATACGCTAAACCTCGCTGAACCGGAAAGCCGTCGCGGCTCTTATGGCACAGCTGAGTCGCCACGGCCCCATTCACTGCCGCGGGCCGCGCCAGCCTGAGAAGTCACTCGGGCGCAGGATGTTTGGGTGAAACGAGCTCACTGCTGTGAGGGAGCCTGTGATCTTTCGGTGTGTGGAAAGAAGCGCGTAACCCGGATTCTGCTCGTGTTGCGCATCTTCGCTGCTCTTAGGGTAGTTGCCAAGCACATCTTTCATCAAGCGGCGGCTCATTGAGATTCCGCACATCGAAGAGGCCTTGGCAGCAGGGCGCGCAGGTCTCGGGACATTAATCCTTTCGCCTGTCCTGTGCATGTGCTCGCTGATAAGGGACCTCTAATGCGGCGCCTCGAATGTCACAGCCCCAAGAACCACCGAGAAATCCCGAGATCCGCACCGAGCTCGCCGGCCAAGCCTCCGCAAAGCAGCAGCCCACATTCCCCGGATGCAGCCACACTGCACCTGGGCCGGCGGATTGGGGCCGCGAGAGAGGTTCCCGATCTGGTGGCGGCAGGACAAGAAACGAACTGAAGACAGGCGCCTGAACAAGACCTTGGGTTCAGGATGCACGGGAATAACCTACTACCGCCACAGGCTGGCACTGCACAGTCAAGCCTGTGCTGGCAACCGCTCATCTCTCGGTTTCGCAAGCTTGCAGCATGCCTGAATTTGGACTCCAAGTCTATGCCAACGATTTCCTGCGGATCCCAAAGGCGATACCAGAACCTCACCACAAGAAACCTACAATTCACAAGTGAGAGCCTCCAACCTCGGGCCCTCTCCCTTCCCAATGCCCACCTCCCTGAACGTCCTGGGGGTTTTTCCGTTAGCATTCCCCGCGATTGGATGATGCCAAGCCACAGGGAACGGGGCGCAGCTTCCCGGAAGCCGGCCTTTGCCATGGGGCCGAGGCCACTGCGCAGATCCCACAACCTCGGGTTTCAAGCAATACTGTGATGATTAGCATGTTTCTTATTGTTGTAGTCAATATGGTGATGTTGATGATGATGCTGGTGGTGAGGACGGTGGTGATGATGATGACGACGACGACGATGATTGCTATTATTGCTATGAGTTTATTTCTTGCTACACCTGTTATTCTTGTACGTACCGATTAAATGGGGGGCAGGGGTGAGTCAGAGTTCTGGCGTCTACGATATGCCATCGTATGTTGTGGACTCGTTTGGCGTACCACGGAGATCAACAGTCGATGTTGTAGCAGACTCACTAGCCATGCATCCGGCCGAGCACTGTCTAGTGCCAAGGTGGATATGCCCATGCTCCTCGTACACCCTTGCATCCACACTTACTAGAATATGAGACTAACCGTACTGCTACTGGTAACGTTAGTCATGGCGAGGACACTTACAATGAGAATAACACCGATAAGACTTCCAACGATGGCAATGGTCACAACTGTAACAGCAGCAATCGTCAACATAATCGTCACCGTTATCATCATCGTCATCATCATCATCATCATCAGCCGCATCATCATCATCACCACCACCACCATCATCATCATCATCATCATCATCATCATCATCGCCGCCACTGTTTTTACCAGTGCAACAAGCGATAGTAAGTAAGTGCAATGAGGACCGTGAGGGCAATCAGAACACGATGTGCCACAAGAGCAACAAGATCCATAGTAGTAAGAATAACTGTTCAAAAAGCATCATGAATCATAACCATGACAATCAATATTGCACTATCGTCGCGAACATCCTTATGTGCTTGCTCTGAATGTTATCATGACTGCCATTGCTAGTACAGAAGTATGTTCTACTACATACAGACCTAGATTAATGCATTTTGTACTTAAAAACCGAAAATATGCAAAGAGATAGAGGGAATCTTGCCGCATCCTGTCTACGAGTTGCACCCTGCCCGAGGAACGGGGGCCAAGGTCATCTAACAACGGACCCAAGTACAGACCTTCATGCTGAGATCCCTGATGCACAGACGTAAGGAACCCTTGAAGAAAAGCGAGCCCCATAATTTCAAAAACCCTGAAGGCCTACAATTACAAAGTAAAACCCCTGCGTGAACCTGTCCGGCCGGGGGGCAGCAGGGATCCATCGAGGGATGCTGAAGCGAAGGACTGACGGCCGAAAAGCGATGTAGGGTTTCGGTTTGAGGGCCCAGAGTAAAATTATTTCGAAGACCATTGCATGGACGATGAAAAGTTATCTCAGAGGTTCTATAGATACGGATCTGAAAATTATGTGTAGTATTACAGAACATAATTCTGAAGCAGCCCTCTGCACAGCGGAAAGCGATCCGGAGCACTTGAAGTTTGAGGTCATGTGTGAGGTCAGTTCTCGTGGTTGTGCCTGCGCAGAGATGGCACAGACATCTGCCACGAAGTCCCAGTGCCCCGCGCACCTGGCGCAAGTCCCTCTAATCGAGTCAGCGATGGAGCCCGAGCAGCAGTAGCAGCGGCCGTGTGGCCAAAAGCATTGCCACCGCCCACCAGCACCGTCACAAGCACCAGTACCACGCAGCACCATCTTTATCACGATGGTAACGGTAAACCCTTATCATCGTTGTGTGCACCGGTGCTGGGGGTCCGAGCGCCGAGAGGCCGCGTGGTGGGCTGAGTGCAGCATCGTAGAGCCCAACTTCGTGAGATCCCAGAGCCGACATCCTCGCGCAGGGCTTTCTTCGGTTCTCCGGTATACTGGAGGATCTCAAGATGGCTTCGGGCTCGGGTTGAAGCTTCATCAGGACTTCCGGCTGAACAATCGCTTTCCGAGTCAGGGAACTGGCCGAGCACCACAAGCGACTGCGAAAAGTGCAGGAACTCGCCCCGGGAGACACGATCCAACGAGCGCCAACCTTGGACAGCATGTTGCGACTTCCACGTGAACTCAGCACTTTTCCTGCCGCAAGCAAAACGAAAGCCAGTGTATGCCTCAAACGCAGTGAAGTACCCCTGTAGCTTCAGACCCTCTCTGGAAAGCATCCCTGACATTCCCTTTTTGTCTCTGAACATTCCTCAATCCAGACTCAGCTCTGAAAACCAAACATGCCGCCAAACCCCAAACCTTAAAAATCCGCGCACCCTCAAAGCCCTAAATCCCTGGACACCCTAAATGCCTAAACCCCTAAACCCTGAAGCCCCAAACCGCTCCGGGACACCGCTGCGAGGCGCTGGCGGCGGCCAGGGCGCCTCCACCTGCCAAGCCTGGGCTGCGGAAGCCTCGGAGTCGGCTGCGGCATGGAGGGCAAAGGGAGAAGGAGCACAGCGTCAAAGGATATGACGGACGGATGCATGGATGTATTGTGTATGTATGTATGTATGTATGTATGTATGTATGTATGTATGTATGTATATATATACATACATACACATACTCATTCACTTGTTTATTCACTTATACGTTATACATATATACATGGAAAGTTTTGTCGCACACGCAATAGTGGAATTTTCGCATGGAAACCAGGACCACCAAAAGGGACGCAACCCCATGGAGAGCAACCTCCTTGTTGGCTTTTTCTATAGCCTTGCCACGCCAAGCCGCATCATCCGTGCGGCGGAAGAGAGCCAGCCCAGCATCTGGACCGTTCACTCCGGCAACCAGCACCTGGCGGATACCACGACAACTAGGACGGCAACGGCGATGCTGCTGAACAGCAGGCAACGTCACGATCTTGGTGGCTTATCACGAGCAGGAGCAGCAAAAGCAGCGGCCGGCAGATTGCTGCCATGAGCTCTGAAGTCTTTCCTGCACTCCGACTCTGCATGTCGTATTCGTTCGTCTAGAGAGTCTAGAGTCTAGTTGGCGCGACGATAGTGAGTTGTTGATTCAGTTGTTGATAGTGACGTTGAATGTTGATGACTCTGTGGCTGATGTTAAGTCTGTGCTGATATCATTGTAATGACGAGATGATGGTCGTGATGGTGCTGGCCGTGACGATCGCGATGATGAGAATGGCAAAGTTGACCGCGGAGAGAGTGCCGGTGCTTCTTCTGCTGCTGCTGCTGCTGATGATGCTGCTGGTGGTGGTAGCGGCGATGGTGGTAAGAGCGGAGGTGCAGTTGAGGGTGCAGGGTGAGTGTGAGAGTGAGGGCGTCGGTGATCACGGTGGCAGCCACGATGATGATCATGATGGTAACGATGATCATGATAGTGATGGTGATGGTGATGGTGATGGTGATGGTGATGGTGATGGTGGTGGTGATGGTGATGGTGATGGTGATGGTGATGGTGATGGTGATGGTGATGGTGATGGTGATGGTGGTGGTGGTGGT